TTAAGAGAGCGCTTTTTAGAAAAGCGTTGTCATAAGTAGACCTATGAGAGCGCTTTTCATTAAACAAAAAGCGCTGCTAAAACCTTTAGCAGCGCCACCTTAGAAAGCGCTTTTAAGCGCTTTTAAAGGCCAAAAAAAGCGCTTTCGTAGGTCTTTTTTGGCGTAGTGTTGTAGATAAAGTTTGTGCAGAAGGAACAAGTGCAAAGCTCAAGACAAGTTGACTTTGTGATTAAAGCAACTTTTCGAGAATGACAATGGTGTCTTTGCGCCATAAATGGAATGTAGCTTGGATAAAGGTTCTAATGCTTGGATCATAGCTCTAAAAATTGTGTAAATCATTAATTATGGAGTGAATTACAAGTTAGAAGCCTGCAAAGTAAGATATGCAACATAGCTATGAGATTTGGCCAAGGGTTCATCATCAAAATGACTTGTAATTCAAGAATGGATGCCCAACTTCTTGCCTTCGATTCTCTTATCTCAAGCATGATCTCTTCAAGTTATTGGATATTTTGGAAATCTTGAAACATTATCTACAACCTTCATTTTGACCATTTTGGCTAAATCATCTTGGATCTAGATGAAAATTGGCCAAGAAGTTAGGTAAAAAATCTGCCTAAACTTGTTAAAATTTTCACTAAGTGTTTTATGAAAAATGTCATGACTTCATGGGCTTATATCTTCAAATATAAGCATTTTTTGGACATCAACCATCTAGTACAAAGTTGTAGAATTCATCAATCAATAAATTTTATGTTGAAAGTTTTCTTTGAATCATCTTGCATGTTGGTGAAAATAGGTCATGAAGTAATGAATTTATCAAGTATAAAATATACTTTGAAAATATTCTAAGTCTTGAAACTTTGACTTTTTATGGACTTTCTTGACTTTCTTGATTCTTGTTGATCAAGTTTGATATTTTTGAGTATCTTGATAAATCTTGATCTTTGAAACTCAATATTGACCAAAAAGTCAAAGTTTGACTTTTGGTGTAACAATTGACTTTTTCATCAGTTGATCAAATTTCAACAATCAATTGTTTGATCTTGAGAATGATTTAAGCCGTGAAATTAGGTCAAGATATTGTGTTTGAATTATTAAGTTCATTATTCAAACCATTAGGTCATGTATTAGGTCAAAAGTCAATGATTGATCAATCCCAATCAAAACCCTAATTTTGACCATTTTGCCCCTTTGATGATTTGAATGCTTTTCTTGAGGAATTATTTTCAAAACTTGATCAATTGATGAATATGGTTTAAAAATATTGATATGGTCCAAAAAGCTTGAAGTTTGACTGTAGGTTGACCACAGTTGACTTTTTATCCAATAGAGTTGATTTTCAATAATTTGATCAATTGACTGAGCAAAATTATGATCTAAGACTTGAAACTTGACATGAGTATTCTTGGAGACCCATAATGAACCATTAAAGTCTTTTGAGGCATTAGAAATCCAATTTCCCTTGTGAAAACCAAAACCCTAATTTGTGGCCCCAGTGCTTAGGAGATGAGTTAACCTAGTCGACCCTTGTGCAAACTTGAACTATTGAAGATCTTTGTGAGAAATGTCTTGAGAAAAGAGATGACAAATTTTGGGGGTACAACAACTGCCCCTATTCAATCTTCTTAATCTGAGTCAGCAGATGCCTATGTCTGAAAGCAGTATCAGAAATTAATCTGAGCCAGAGGAGGTCTTTATATCTTTAATCGGACGAAGTATCAGAACTTAATCTGAGCCAGAAAAAAATCTACTGAAAGAGGTATCAAAACTTAATCTGAGCCAACAAAATTAATTAACTTGATACAAAAAAGCAAATTAAAGTAGACAGAGGTGTAACTCGTAAAAATTATGGTATAGATAAAAATACCATTAAAAATGTAATCCAAAAGCCCATAAAAATCTCAACCTAATTCTAACAAACTAAAATAAGGAAAATAAATAAAATATAAAAAAGAAAAAAAAAACAAGTTACAGTGTGGGAGGGAGTGGTCACTTTCAAAATATGTATCCGCATATTTTTTAATAATAACAACAAAACAAGAAAGCAAGTGGAAGAAGAATTTTTGTCAAATTTCCAATGACAATTGATAGCATCTGAACAAGTGTCTTCCTTTCATTAAAGAAAATAAACAAAATATATATAAAAGTGACCAGTAATAATTATACAGTTAGCAAAGCAACACCAAACATTAAAAACCATCCTCTTTCTTATTTCATTTACGGTTTCATTGAGAACAAACAGACCCATATTTCAAGTTTTTTTCTCAAACTATCATTTTCTCCCTTAATTTCTCTTTGAGTCAGCAAAACAAAGATGGATGATTTTCAATTTTTCAACTAGTTATAAATAATATTAATTAAAAATAATTAAAAAAATTATATCCAAAATTAAAAATATTAATTACTGATATACCGTAAACTTGTCTCCTTGAACAAAGAATTTGGAAAATTTCCCAATTGCTAGTAGATGAAAAAATTTCCCAATTTGGAAAAAGTGCATGTATGATATTGACATTGAAGCAGATTTTGAAACAGCTTGGATGACACTATTGTTCATACAAGTTGTTTCCTAATTCATAAAGGTGGCAGCATCGTGTGAAGTGGAGGACCTCAAGATTGTTGATGACATGGTTGATCTCATGCTTAAGCAAATAATTGAACATCACTCTCAAGTCAAATACAATAACAATCATAATAATGACAATTCGACATTTCTAAATTCTAATGTTACACAACCAAAGAGTTTCAAGAAACAAAATTGCTTAAAGAGACAATTACAAAAGCGAATTAAAAGTTGGATTAAGAAGCCATCTATTGCAAAAAATAAAAATTTCCTCCTAAAATCCAAACATGCTGTCAATCCTCTCGGATATGTAATTTGATGTATAAATAATTTATTTTAATTTTATATGTATTATTATTGATATTTACTATTACATAATCATTTTAAGATAAATAATTAATAAGACATATGATTGATGTAGTACAATATTCAGCACTTCAAGTCAATTAGCTCCAAAAACACAAGAGAGTCAATTTAGTGAGCTCTAACAAACACAAGATGATCAATTTAATTTTACGGTATTTTTTATAGTAATATAATTCTCATTCAATAAATAATTATCATTACATTTACACTTATCATGATGTTAATTAGTACTTTTTCTAATGTAGACACCACTTAATGAAGCGGACGTTGCAACGTTAAATTAATCGAAGTGAATAGATCATTAATTAATATTTTTTGTGTAGCAGTATATGTATTACTAGTATTTTTGTATGTCAGTCTTGTGATTACAAAATGAGATCGTAAATATTGTGATTACAAAATGGCACCGTAAATATTGTCTCTGTATATTTTTTTTTTGTATATTGACACTCAATATTTTGGACAAAATGGCATTGCAAATATGAAAATGGCATTGCATATATTGTAATGAAGTAAATGTTTTACAGAATCTCTTCTTTCATTATATAATACATATATTACATGCAAGAGTGGTTCTATATCCAAAGAACTCGGACACGCGTCCGGACTTAATCCCTATTTTCTTTATATTTTCCTTAATCTAATAATTATTTTTAGATAAAAACAGAGGCAAAATTAGTAAAAATGGAAATAAAAATTGTAAAAATAAAATGCAAAATTAGTAAAAATATAGTGTAAATTTTTGACTCAAGCTGCCTAAAATTCTTACTCCGCCGCTGATTAATAGATCACTAATTAATACTTTTTGTGTACCAGTATATGTATTACTGGTATTTTTGTATGTCAGTGTTGTGATTACAAAATGGGATTGTAAATATTGTGATTACAAAATGGCACATTAAATATCGTCTATGTATTTTTTTTTGTATATTGACACACAATATTTTGGACAAAATGGCATTGCAAATATGAAAATGGTCTTGCAAATATTTTAATGAAGTAAATGTTTTACAGAATCTCTTCTTTCCATATATAATACATATATTACATAAAGGGCGGTTCTATAGCTTAGCGAACTCAGACACGCGCCCGGACTCAACTCTTATTTTCTTTGTATTCTCTTCGATCTAATAATTGATTTTTAGATAAAAACAGGAACAAAATTAGTAAAAATAAAATGTAAAATTAGTAAAAATAGGGTGGGAAATTAGTAAAAATATGGTGTAAAATTTTTGCTCAAACTGTCTAAAATTCCTGACTCTACCACTAATTAGATATATTGTTACTGATTACAAAGATGACAGCAAATTTATACAAATAGATGGAGAAAAGTGTACAAGTACAAAAATCTCTTTTTCATTATATCTATTGTTACTGATTAGAATATAACAGAAAAATGATACAAATAGATGCAGAAAAGTGTACATGTACAAAATCTCTTTTTCATTATATCTATTTTTGTTACACCAGTGCAGAAAATTGTTAGAAATCTTGTGTTAATATCTATAATCCTGAGCATCTAAATCTGCAGAATTATCTTGGACTCGGTATCATTGTTGCTGTCAACCTGTACATAAATCGTTGCTGTCATGATTCCTGTCAGACAGTGCATAATTCAAAGTAGAGAACCATAAAATGCATAACTCTGCCAAGCAGTGCAGAAATGCAACTTTAGAAGACAATTTAGCAAAAAGCTTCCCAATTCTCATTTTGTAAGCAAAGAAGGTTCACGATTCAATTCAATGATTTAGTGAGTCAGTTCCATAGAAGGAGGGGATGATTACAAACCTGCCGACAACGGCGATAGAATGAGTAGATAATGGAGTGAGAGAGCATTGCTAGTGAATAAATAAAGAAAAGGGTTTTATTAGAGAAAAAGAATAGATGCAAGTTACAAGTGGTGAAATAGTGGACGTGAGACAGTGAGATTAATCTAACGAATAGAATTAATGTAAAGGAATATAAAGATAGGCAAATCCTATTCGAAATTTGTATCGAGGAAGAGGAAGAAATGGAAAAGTCCATTGTGAGAACCCTGGAATACTACCTAGTCTCCCACCCTAAAATCCTAAACTTCACATGGAACCCTCCTCACACCCCACTCTCCTCCCTCCAATTCCTCTCTCTTTCCATACTCTCCTACCTCTCCCTCACTCTCCTCCTCCTCCTCCTCCCTCTCCCCCCTCTCCCACCTCCCTTCCTCAAGCCCTTCACCGCCCTCCACAACCTCACTCTCTCCATCCTCTCCCTCATTATGACTATCGCCACCTCCCTCACCATCCTTACCCACACCCCCAACCTCCGCTCCACCATCTGTTTCCCTCCCAACACCCCTCCCACCGGACCCCTCTTCTTCTGGGCCTACATCTTCTACATCTCTAAATTCATCGAATTCATAGACACTCTCTTCATCCTCCTCTCTAGATCCATCAAACGTCTCTCCTTCCTCCACGTCTACCATCACTCCACTGTCCCTATCATGTGCTACCTATGGCTCAACTCCTCTCAGTCACTCTTCCCAATCGCTCTTCTAACTAACTCCTCCGTCCACGTCATCATGTACTCTTACTACTTCCTCACCGCTCTTGGAATCCGACCGCCGTGGAAACGCGCCGTTACTCATTCTCAGATTCTTCAGTTCGTCTTCAGCTTTGCTCTTTCCGGTATCATGCTTTATTACCATTTCTACGCCGGTGGATGCTCCGGGATCAACCCTTGGTGCTTCAATGCTGTTTTTAATGCTTCACTTTTGGCTCTTTTCCTTAATTTCCATTTCAACACTTATTCTCATTCCAACAAGAATAAAGATTCCTGACTTTTTTTATACTTGGTGTTGTTCTTTTGTTCATGTTAAGGAAATGAATTTGCTATTTATTTCATTTTTTCAATTTTCTTGTTCAACATAATTTGATAAGCGCAATTGTAGCCCTTATGTCTAATTTATGCATTACAAATGACTGACTAAATTGTCATATTTCATGTAATATGTATCAATGTAATAGCAAAATCACAAGCGATATAGAATCTTAACCAACTGAATGAGAAAATAGTCATAGAATGTTTATTATTGCCGGAACAAGTCCTTTTCATCAATGCGGTGATGGTTGGCTGGGGAACCATCATCCGAGAGTCTACGGTACACTTTCCAATTCCACACAAACTTTTTCACTAAACAAGTCATGACACTACTATTGTTACACAGCTATCCTTCATGTCTTTTTTATTCCAAATTTGGTATTTAAGGTAGCAAAAGAGTTAACAAATTTCTTGTTTTCTTACAAAAGCAGAATAAAACTTACACGCACATCCATTCAAAAACTGACAGAAGAAACCAGATTGAGTAGAAAATGAAAAACAACCGAAAAGTTATTTTGAACAGAACAAACTTATTTCATTTCTTTCATGATAATGTTTATAATACAGGTTAGAATATATCCGGGAGTATATGTCTTAAGAACAATAGAGAAAATAATCTTTTAAAATATTCATGCAGTGTGTAACTTTGCATGTGACATGCACATATGTTATATATACACCTGAGTTTTAGTGGCACTATAATTTGCACTTTACAATGGCCAAAAGCCAGAGATTACTGAAAGTTCAAGTTAGTGCATCATGTTAATGAGCATCACATGAGAAAACTCAACAGTATACCCCTCATCTGTGAAGCAAAGGAATTACCATAAGCAATGAAATAATTCCAACATCGTAATTTATAAACCAGGTTTCACTGTGACATCTCATAGACGAAGCTATGAAATGAGCAATGCTCGCCACCAAGAATTACCTGCAGACAGTTATCTAATAACTTGTTAGCAAAAATTAAGATTACATGTGAAACAATAAAAGTTGTTGCAGCATAAGAGTTTGATCTTACTTCTATTACGACCACTGAAATGGGACCGCGTCCAATCTAGAACTGCACGAATAGGCCTAATCGAAGCAATTTGGCTCCAAATCCAAATAAAGTTGCTTGTAAGTTCCTCAAATCCAATGAATCCGTCGTACTCATTCTCATTGTGAAAAGAGTAGTAATTAGCATTGTTACTATTATCAATCCCTTGTAGCTCGTGGCGACATACAGGGCAAGTGTTGTGCATGCGAAGCCACGGGAGAATGCAGTCAGAATGGTAGAAATGTTTGCATGGTAACTCTTTCACTTCCAAATCAACTTCAAACTCATCTTTACATATTGGACAATTAGGGTCGCTTGCCAAATGAGCTTCTGTCACTTTCACCATTGGTAAGGCTTCAATGGCGGAAGGTGACGCGGGAGGCGGCCCTGGTCTGATGTTGTTGTGAATTACCCCATCAAAGAGCTCATCTAATGAAGGGGTGTCATTGTCATTGAGTCGAGGAACCAAGTTTTGCAATGGCGGTGGGGCATTAGGCCTTGGTGGACGAATTGGTCTTACAAATCGAAGTGTAATCCATGTTTGTGGATTTCGATTTTGATTTTGATCATGTTCATGTTCTGTTTCCCATTGTAGTGTTGTGTTATTTTGATTTTGTCTTCTAAAAGATGGATCAAGAATGAAAGCTAAGCTACCCATTAACTGATTAGTAGTGGGAGGAGGTTCCATGTTATTAGGGTTATTCATGAGAAGCCTTGGCCTTGATATATCAAGCTCATACAGCAATTGATGGAAGCAATATGGACAGAAAGAGCCATAATCCATAATAGTATTTGTTGAGGGTATTCTGACAGTACGTTGGCAATTGAGACACCAAAAATAATGGAAGGTTCTCATTCTTCGAACACCGTTGACAATAACGCGAGGCCGTCCCGTGAGAGACATGATATGGAGGAAATGAAAAGGCGATATGGAAGTTAGAGTTTATTGTTCAAGAAGAATGAATAAGAACTTGGAGAAAGTATTTTATATTGTGGGTTTTGAGGAAGGAGAAAAAGGATGAAAGGGATGGCTTTGGATTGAAGCCACAACAAGAAAGGGATATTCCTTTTCATTTGTATGTTACTATTGATGATTGATATTCTCTGGTTTGGTTCACCCAATGTTTATGTTATCATGTTTGGCTTTTCTTCACAAACTGAGTCTCCTCTTTATAAGGCAAAAGATGCTTGAATGTTCTTGACAAGTTACACAAACAATGCTTTAATTTTGGTTTCCCTGAGGAAGTTGTATGTTAATACCATAATAGTTATGGATAATACACTGTTTAGCAATAAAGCAGTCGCGAATGTGAAGGTACTTCGTAATATTCGATTCACAGATTACAACAAACAACCACAGACCTTCAAGTTAGAGGCAGAAGTTAAAGCTGAAAATTATCCAACTCAAGCATTGCATATAATATGACAAATCCAAAGAGTTAGTCAAAGCTAGTTAGTACAAGAGTTTCCTATTTTTATTTACACAAAAATTATTACTAAATTACATCTTTACACTTTCTTTAATAAGCAACCCTGAATATGGTATCACTATTTGGACTTGCCACTGCTTTGGTTTCCTTGTGACTTTAATTTGTTCTCGATTACCTTTAAGGAAATTTCTGGTTTAGATTCTTCATTTTCAAATGGTAAAACTGCTACTGGAGCAGCAGGAACCGCGTGCCAACGCTCTCTTAAAAGTTTCATGAATCTCTTAACCATCTCTTTCCGAAACTCGAGCTCCCGCGTGAATGCATCGAAGAGAAGAAAGGAAAGAATGTACTTGAATGGGACAATGAAGAGAATGGCTGACCAAGTTAACATAAGCACAGCAACCTCTGTAGTTATCTGACAAAAGATTACAAATCAAATTAAACACCCACGAAAGAAAACATAGTAATACAAAGAACATGTCTGAATGAATGTTTTTAACTAAATCTCTCATTAACATTGCATGATATTATAATACCTGTGGATTGCCAGAAAGTAAAATTGAACGTATTTTGAGAAGCGAGACATTCACTTTCTGCGTAATATTCTCAACATCGCGCATGGCGTCTTTTACAGCAATGATCTTTTGAATAGTATTTGACGGTGGCTGATCACGTATTGTGACTCCACCGAAAAATCGTCCAAGACGGCCTTGCTCCTTAAGGCCCCTGATTGTCAGCATTCCAACTGCCGTGATCATTAACATCGTTGGAAGCATATACGACAGCAAGTTTCTGGAAAGGCAAATAAACACCACCTCAAAAAACAATTTCAAGTGCTCAGAAACAACTAGGTTCAACATCAATGAATTTTGAACATTCTAAATCTATACAAACGTTTACCTAAAAATCATTGTATAGGTAATTCCAAGAAACCCGACAGTCAGGTGTGGCTCCTCCCAGCGTCTTAGCTTTTCAAAGTTTTTGACAGTTAAGGTGATAGGAAATATTAGTTCCTGCACAAGAACATGATTACTTTTAAGACCATATTGTTTTTGAGAACCAATCAAATGAAAAGAGAATAAAAATGGAATACATCATAAGAAAATTACAAAACCATGGTAGGCGTCCGAACCTTGAAAAGATCAATGTTGCTGGGTATGCCTTTCAGAGTTGCAGCATTAATGGTGGCTTGAGTTTTCTCCACAACCTGATACTTTTGTTTGCTTGTTTTTGCTGCTCTTTCAGTGAGCGACAGGTCAGCTACAACAAGATTCTTACTTAATACCAAACCTTTTGTTGAAGTGTTCTTCCAAAAAGTAGTAGAAGTACTAGACGCCCAAGATTGAGATTTCATCCACTTCTGCAAGTAGACACTTCCGTCGATGTCGAAAGCATGGTTACAATTCTCAGTTGTTTCATTAGAAAGTCGATTTTCTGGCTGACTGCGTGTGTTTATGAATCCTGTAACTAGTTGACCTCCCCAGTAATTAACAGCTAAGGTTTGGAGAACAATATCACCATGTGGTGCATTTTGTAAATATGAGAACTGCACGAGCTTGATAGGATCATCGGGAAACTTTCGCAAATGTTGAAGGGCCTGGAGTCTTGCCATACCATTAATGGCACTGGCTGTTGCTCTTTGCTTTCCTTTGCGAGCCCCGTAAACATTAAACAATGACTCATCAGAATCTTCGGGACCATGCTCATGAATGAACTTGTGTAAAGCAATGACTTCGCTAATCAATGCATTCCAAATATCCCTCCTCATCTCACCTCCCAAGTCAATGAATTCCAATGCCCACCAATTCGGCCTAAGTATGAATGTAAGTATAAATAGAAATGAATTATTTTAAGATGATGATGATAAAATGCAGCAAAGAGCAACAAAGAAAAGTGGAGGACAAATATTGCGGGTTCTAAATACAGTGGGCATGTTTACTAATGACTTGTGTTATTCATCCATAATTATTAATATTATGAGATTAAACAATATTAGACAGTAAAAATAAAACTGAAATGCTTGCAGTAGCTTACTCACTCTGAGCTAGAAGAAATAGAAACAGCCGAGTCAAAAAGTGAAGACCCTAAGGGCCCAACTTTTGCTTTCTCTACCTTTAACCCATCATATGTAAGATCCAATCTCATTGCTCTCTTATTTCCCAATAAGCCAACTGCCTAGAACACAGATTAGAAAACATCATTAAGACGACGTCATGATTACTTTTTTTTCCTTTACTTCATGATCTATATTCTATCATAATAAGTTACCAGTAAGTATAATTCACAAATTACAATCAATCATTACTTACAGTTGAATAATTTGCAATGGTTAATTATTAAAATATACAATGTCCTCAGAAGACCACAAAACAGTTTATTAGCATTTCATGGAATTATACCTCAAAATAGATTGCTTTATCGGTAAGAGTGAGTTTGCCAGGCCAAGCCATATTATTCTCCCATTTCAGAACAGGCTGCTTATTGTTGGCACCAATGCATAAGATTTTTTCATCGTCAATTTGGGGAAACTCTGGAATCTGATATGACCTATTTTCTCGACGTACTCTACAGTAACATCAGTACAAGTTTAGCACAAGAATCCTACAACACCAAAGACTGTATAGGCTTTCTGAAAGCACTCCGGCACAATCAAATGATGCACATAACAAACCATAGAAAGAAAGGCAATGCTGACAAATACCATTTATATGCTAATTATATTCTCCAGCAGAACTGAGGCAGTTTTACGATATTGGAAGGCTATAAGTAAGCTACTTAGATTTTTATAATATAAATGGCAATGTCAAAAGTAATTTAAGGGCGCATGGAAGATGAGTTAAAAGCTGCCTTATGAACAGGAGGTTCAGAAAAGTAGACAAAAGAATAAAATGGACGAGCTAAGCATTGCATCGATCATATTATTCATATATTATCTTATGGAATTTGGACAATTCAGAACATCTTCTCATGACAGAATTTTAATCCGCTTGTCATATAAAAGGAAATTTCATTCTTTAAAAAAACTAACTATCCAAATAAAGTGAGAACACGTAGTAAAAGCTTGAAGCATTTGGAAATCGGCAAATCATTGTAGACCACTACATCAACAAAAAGATGATCGATACAAACTCACTTGAGATACTCATTAATGTAAGCTAGCCACGCACTCATGGAAATGCCCTCTTGATCGCCAGAAAGAGCCTTAAAAAGATGGTGCACTGTGGGACGGTCAACCACACCAGAGACTGCAGGAGCAATTCGGACAAAAGCCTCCTCGGTGACAAGTTTACTCTGAAAAGTTCCCCAAGTGATCTCTCAAAATCATAAATATAAAAGAACTAAATTAAATAATACTATTATGTTGAAAAATATAACAGGAAATCTCTCCACAAAAAAAAAAAAAAAAACTACTCCTCGCTCATCTTCTACATTGAATCAGCTGGGTATTCACATGCTCATAGAGTTTCTGAACTAAATTAAAGAAAAAGAAAGAAGTGAACCTGTAGAGAAGCCTTCTCTGCATTGCTGGAAAGGAAATTAGTGTAAGGATTTTGCCAGGCAAGCATGGTTATGAATATCAACCTCTGGAAAGCAGGATCCTATAAACGCAACCAACCTCAATAAACCACATTAGATTTCTTTATATGATAACACAATAAATGTAATTTAGTATTACTATATTTGAATAATTACTAATTGAAATGATACAAAGGAAAACCAATAAATACCAAATGCAAGTTTGATGAGACCGTAACGAACTAATAAAAACAAAATAGAAAACGAGCAGAGTTTATAATATAAGATTGAGAGAACGGTACTCTATACCTGGAGGGAAGGATGAATATCAGAAGTGTCCCTTGACAAGAATCTAAAGCAGCAGTACTCAACAAAATTACGGGCATCCGTATATAGAGTCTCTGGAACAAGTGTTTGAAAAATATTCTTCATTTTGTTCCCGGTCAATCCATTCATCCTGCATATCTTATTTTCAAAAAGTCAAATAATAATGCCTGTATGAGTGATATAGGCATGATATCAGCAAGAAAAGCTACACCAGCAACATAAAAGATAGAATGATGCATAAGTAATTCACCTGCTGAATTGCTCAATGCATATAACAGCAGCAAGAGAAAGAGTCCCATATGGTGTTCTGCGTTCAATTGTTTGTTCTACCATAAATATATCTTCCATAACTTGAAATCCGACATCATTCTCAGGATCAGGCTTTTTAGTTTGGCCAGATTTTGCAAGCGGAGAAGTCACTTCATTCAAAAAGTTTTGGGTCCTCGACATCAAAACATTCAATCTTTCTTGGATAGAACCTTCAAAAAATAGGTGAAAATATAAAGCTTAAAAGAAATGGCTAGGAAAAATAAAGACACTACGCAATCCCCTTCTATTAAGGCCTGTTTGGGTGAGTAGGCTTATATCATAGCATAAATGTTTATGTATAAGTTGTTTCTATAACAAAAGATACAATAAGTTGTTTTCACAAGCTAAACTATTCTGGAGAACGGATGAAAATAAGCTAAAAATAAAAAAGAAAAAGAGAGTAAGCAAACATACTAGCAGTTAGGTCATTGAGGTTCCATTTATCTCCCAAAGACTTGAATGAAAACTTTTGGTGACAGAGGATTCTTGTGGAATACTTTCGGTGGCAAGAAATCACATAATAATTGGGTGTCTTCAACTGACTCATGGGAAATTTCGGCCCCATTTTTCTTGTATTGGCAATTGAATATTCAAGATCCGAGCTTAGAGTTCATAGCAGAAACTGAAGCAAGCATGAATCGAAATAACACTCAACTGTTGATATAATTAATTAATCATAAATATTAAAGAAGAATGAGACTTGAGAGAGAAAGAAGAAGGAAAGAAAGAGACTTATGTTTGCGCTTATCTTTATGGTGAGAGAGGTGCCCAAGTAACTAATCAAATTGCACGTGCCATGATAACACGCTAATCATAAAATTAGTTGGTTCAACTTTGGTTGTTTATATAGATTTTTAGCTACTTATTTCTTCCAGATGGAGATTGTGGTGTACATATTTTTAGTCTTTATGTACACAATCAAAAGTGGTCGGCAATTTAAGTTTATATTTCACAATTTATCTTTTTATTGCTCAAAACCGTCTACCGTGCGGATGGCTATTAGCTCTCTCATGGGAGAGTTTTTTTTTTTTTTTCCTTCACAAATGGACATGAGCCGTTGGATTGGGTGCATATTATGCATTTTCATACACAATATCATAACTATCCCTTAACATCTTTCTCTCACCATTTGTCCTTTTTTGAACCCATTTCCCATCTTCGTTCTGATTTCTTCTTCATTTCTTCACCTTCACACACAATATCATGATCATCCTTTAAAGGATTTAGGCAACACAAAGTAGAGCATCGCAAGTTTATTAAGGTAACAAATTGAGGCCCGCCAAACTGCTCTGAAAGTGTAAATCATTAAGGTGTCACTGTTATCAATTACCCGACAAACTAATGTACATATATTTACACAAAACCAATTCTGCAACCTATCCAACTACTCCTTCAAAGACAATCTCCGCAACATTTGTTCTAGCAACCATCAATTGCGTCGCATAATGCGTTATTGTCCAAGTTAACATCAACTGTCGCATACTGCATTATTGTCCAAGCCATCCACGTCAACAACTATCTGCATACCAATGTAAGTAACAAAAAACATTAAAGGGTGGTCCATATTACAGAAAACAGCCAACAAAATAGGAGATTTAATAAATATAATAATTGTACGATACATTAAAGAAATCACCAAGCAAGTGTGTTCTAATATATTACAGACTATTAATAAACAAAATTGGTCCATAATTATCTGCAAATTATCCAAAAAAAATCCACGTCAAAAGCAAATTATCAATGTCTCTAAGTGGGTATTGTCTGATTTTCCAGTATTCCTTAGCTTTTCTTATGAGTTCATTGTTAAGTTCATTATGATTTCCCATTAGCAAACGCATCGTGGCCACCACCCTTGTGACATTCTCCTTGATCTGGTAATAAAATGTTAATTAATTAACAAGATTAAATGGTAATAGTTCATCGTAAACACAAAGATAAGAAATTATAGATAATCATACCACACCAAGGATGTTACTGGTAAAGTTATTCTGCATATTCATCTATTTAACGATCCATAAGGCAGAATTGTCACTGCCAATACAACACAACATGTTCAATTCTCACAATTGTATATGGAAAGTGTTCATCCATTGGAAGACTTGTGATACCTGGTTCCACAATTGGATATCCCTCGGGCCTCAACAATATCTTAATATTCAAAGTCTGATATGGTGTGAAGAGAGAAGGAACTTTGGTACACCATTTCAACCAACTTATTCAGCACGACTCCCTGGTAAATTGAAGGAAATATAGCTTAATATCACTGCCATAGTTCAAAATTGTTATTATAAAATTCACGTATACTCACGATGTTTCTGAAGGTGCACCTTCTTTCAACCACGACTTCCACCTTCAGATGCGAGTCCAAATGAAAAATCTTGCAATCATCCAGTGAAATGACCATGAGGTATCAGTACCCACGGGGATCTTCAATTGACACATAAATCTATAACATATATTGAGTTTGGAACAAATAGGTAATTTGTCTTATGTAAATAAGGAGGCAGTACGTACAATATTTAACTATTAGAGACAATTAGATGAAAGATTATACCAGTCTCAACTGATCATATAGAACCAACCAATAATCTTTGTAAAATTTGTACATTTTCTCATGTCCAATTTCTTTAGCAACATCTTCCTACAAGCAACACATAGTTGACCATACATTAGAATGTGAGTATTAATTATTAGTAATGACTCATGTAACATGTGAATCATGAATAAATTTAGATTTTATGTTATTTACCGTGAAAAATGGGGGTAGGCACCACAGAGTTGAGCATAAATTTTGGTGTTATGTCCACATCACCTTCAACGCCATCATCAAGGTTATTTGTTCCAATGTTGGAATTCATTTAGACCACTAAACGGTTAGGCATCACACATGATTTGTACATGTATGTATGTGTATAGTTTAGAGATATACCTCACTTGAAACCAACATTCCAGGACACATGCACTCAAACTCAGCACTGGTGTACTCTGTACTACCGACCTTGAATATTATATCACTAAAATACAACAACAAACACTGTTAGTCATTGTTACCAGATTTCATGATAAGGTAATAACAATCATGTCCATATACCTTGAGTCAAAGTCATCTTGGAAAACATAAGCACACACTCTGATTTTAGATTGATCCAGTTTCATCTCAGTGGAGATCTTAAACGCGCATCTAAAATGCTGCTTAATATGGGAGTTGTTTAGAATATAGTACACAATGGATATGAACATTTTTCTTTCAAAAGCTGTTAAATGATATATGATTATTGTTATACGGTGGGAGAACTGACTTGGGTGTTTTGTGTTTTATCGCAAATATTGTTGATAGCAAGAGTTGCCACCGACTTTTCTTTTATCTAATAAAGGAAAGGGTGAAAAGAACAGTGTTGTACCCCAAAATTTGCCCTCCCATTTCCTCAACATTTTCTCATCACAAGACCCTTGGAGCTCAAGAACAAGTTAGGGTTTGCTCTGCTCAAGACTTCTCCTTGCACTGTTGACCCAAATTAGAGTTTGAGTTTGCACAAAGATGTTTTGACCTAAAATGCCCAAAATGACTTTCATGCTTCATGTTGGACTCAAAAGTTTATCCATACCAAGTTTCAAGTCTTGATTCCAATCTCTGCCCAGTCAATTGGACAGTTGACCTAGAAATCAGCTGTATTGGGGAAAAAGTCAACTGTGGTCAATTGACAGTCAAACCTCATGAAATTTGACCCACATCAACATTATGAACTCACATGAACCATTTGGTCAAGTTTGGATCACAATTCCACAAGAAATTTGATCAGATTAACAAAAGGGCAAAATGGTCATTTTTAGGGTTTTGACTGCACAAAGGCAATTTTTGACTGTTTGACCTAGCCAATGGCAAACCAAGCTCACATATGGACTCAAGGACTCAATGGCATTTGTCTTGACATGTTCAACAAGTTCAAAAGATCCCAAATGCACAAGATTGACAGATGAATTTTCCAGTCAACTGAGCCAAATTTGACTGTATACTGAAAAGTCAAACTTTGACTTTTTGGTCAAAATCAAGTGTCAAGATTCATTTTTCATCAAAACATGTCAAATCATGAAACTTGTTCATCAAGAAATCAAAAATTACAAATTAGGGTTTTAGAATGAAGAATTTTCATAACTTAGAAATTTTCTAAGTTATGAAAATTCCTAATTTTTTCTTAACTTTGTCCCATTTTTTCATCAAGATACATTTGGATTCAAACAAAACTCAAAACATGAAAGTTATAGTCCATTGCAAAATCTACAACTTTTATTCACAAAGTTTCCTCAAAAGAAGATTGTAGCTCAAGTTATGATTTTTGGAACAAGGGTGCAAAACATTCCTAACTTAGAAATTTTTTGACCTATTCTAGGCAGGATTTTTGCCTAACTTCATGGCCATTTTTCACATGCTTCCACTTGGAATTTCAAATTGCATTACAAAGATGTATTGTAGTACACATTCCAAGCTTTCCAAAATGTCCAATAACTTCTCAAACACCCTTGTGGTTAGGGAGAATCGAATTTGTCAATATGGGCAAAAGTCACTTTGTTCATGGCCATTTTCATGTTCATAACTTAGGCATTTTTTGAACTCAGCTTGCACAACTTGATTACAGGCCTTTTATCTCATCCACACTCAATAATTTAATGCCAATCCTTTGTGTTCAATCCTTTTTTTGTGTGTTTAACCATTGCATACAAGATTAAGCCATAAATAGAAAAAGCATTTTATTTATTCTTGTAAAGATTAACTTTATGTCAAGTTTGCAATCCATGAGGTACAAAGCAAATCTCTGAGGCACAAAGGTGTGGACATATCCCACTGATCAAGAACAAACTTTGCAGCATACTTGAGGGGCCTAGAGGAGCCTGTAACAGGACTTGGCATTTTTGACTTAGAAAAGAAGAAACTGGCATAACTAACCACAACTCTCATTGCTGCAACAGCTAGCCAAAACAAACTTTGCAAACACTTTTCCCTTGGTCCAACTAACCTAAAGCACGAATCAATCAGAGTTCAAACCTTCTTATTCATCAAAACACAGTTTTGTGGCAAAACAGGGCACCTGCTACAGATTGAGGTCCCCAACTCAATCCATTCGTGCGCCTTGGCCAAAACCAGTTCAAACACACTCCCTACCACCCATACAAACTACCCCAAGCATTGGACACGAACTGTAACATCCCTAACATCATTTGCCATTTTCAGTTTTTAACTTTGCAGGTGAACTTCTGTAGCTTGATATAGCAAGATTCAAAGCACACCAAGCATTGGAATAGCATCCCTGGACTTCAAGCAAGCTGTACAAGTCCTTACATTGCCTTGAAAGTACCTCCATTGTCATACACGATTCAAGCTGAACAGGTAAGTTTTTGAACTTCTATCTCTCTATCCGGGCATAGTTAGGATTAAGTTTGTGAAGAAAGCATGCTCTAATCATAGCCCTGAAGCCATCCATATAGTTACTTTTCATTTATATTGTGTGTGTTAAGAGAATTTTGAAACTGAATATCTGAAAAAAGCTAGGTCAGGAATTGGGGGAGAAG